ACAATTTGATCTGCAAGAAAATAGAATTAACATAGAAATTCTTAAAAATTCTATAAGTAGAATTTTTAACCGTCACAGCGGTAAGGGATTTCCAGTAATAACACCTAAAAAAATTCAAGAACGAATTAAGCATGAGGGCAAGAGGACTAGTGTACTAGCGTAATGTTTGATGATTGAGAAGCGATTAACAGTTATAAGAAGCATAACGTCACACTTTCTAGATTATTCAAAATTTTGATTGCGGGCTTGTAGGTATAATTATGAGTTAGTTATTATTCGTTAATTACTTTAATTTCAGCATAAATATTAATTGAACTTGCCTTAAATTTAGCTTTGGTCATTATGGGGTTTTTGTTATGACAAAATATGAAACAAATTCTGAGAAGCATCATTCTCATTGTTGATCCAGATTTCGTGATGCGATCATACTTATTGATTCCAAGTTTGTCTATAGAACTGGAAAATTCGATCAGCTATAAAAGGTTAATTACGTCTGTTATTTTGTTGAATTTTTTACATGAAGCAGATAAAATGGAAACTTACCTCTTTATAATTTTTCTTAAGTGGTCCATCCTCCTCATCAACTTCGTTGAATATATCTCATCAAGATACTCCGAAAATCAATCATTCGATTTTCCTTTTTTAATTGATGCGTATAATTTTATTTTTTTTTTTAATTTAATTTAAAATCAATTTTTAGAAATTGAACATTGATTTAGTGCGTGGGGAGAGAATGAATCTAGCATCAAGCGAAAGAAAAATCTTGAACGATCAAAAGAAAAAAAGGTGATGAAGTCTTCAGATACATGCGATATAGGCGTAATTCATCTTTCGAAGGGTCCTTTGGGAATCTTCAGAGGTTTTTCTTTTTTTTTTTTTTTGTTTTTACTTACTTTCTTTTTTTTAGGAGCAGATCTTTTGTTTTTCTTCAGATAGGAGGTAAGTTTCTTTGGAGATTCTTGGGGGGTAGGTTTCATTCATTTTCTAACTTTTTCTTCTTTTTTTTTAGAAGCGGATCTTTCGTTCTTTTTCAGATAAGAGGTAAGTGATTCTTGGGGGATTCTTGGGGGTGGGTTTCATTCATTCTTTTTACTAACTTCCTCTTATTTTTTTTAGAAGCAGATCTTTCATTTTTCTTCGATAGGAGGTAAGTAATTCTTGGGGATTCTTGGGGGTGGGTTTCATTCATTCTTTTTACTAACTTCCTCTTCTTTTTTTTTAGAAGTAGATCTTCAGATAGGAGATAAGTAATTCTTGGGGGATTCTTGGGAGGTGGGTAAAGATGGGAACTGTAATTAATATGTTGCAACTTTTAATGTTGCAACTTACGTTGCAATTAGTTTTAACCTATATATGTTGCAACTTATAATGTTGCAACATATGTTGCAACTAATTTTAGCTTATATTGCAACATTTTGTAAATTTGAAATCAATTGCTGTACCATCTTTAGAGGTGGGTTTCATTCTTTTTACTAACTTCCTCTTCTTTTTTTAGAAGCGGATCTTTGTTCTTCTTCGGATAGGAGGTAAGTGATTCTTGGGGGATTCTTGGGGTGGGTTTCATTCATTTTTTTTACTAACTTCCTCTTCTTTTTTTTTAGAAGTGGATCTTTCGTTCTTCTTCGGATAGGAGGTAAGTGATTCTTGGGGGATTCTTGGAGGGTAAGTTTCATTCTTTTTTACTAACTTCCTCTTCTTTTTTTAGAAGCGGATCTTTCGTTCTTCTTCTGATACGAGGTAAGTGATTCTTGAGGGATTCTTGGGGGTGGGCTTCATTCATTCTTTTTACTTACTTCCTCTTCTTTTTTTTTAGAAGCGAATCTTTCGTTCTTCTTCAGATAGAAGGTAAGTGATTCTTGGGAATTCTTGAAAGGTGAGTTTCATTCTTTTTACTAACTTCCTCTTCTTTTTTTTAGAAGCGGATCTTCAGATAGGAGGTAAGTGATTCTTAGGGGATTCTTGGGGGATGGGTTTCATTCTTTTTACTAACTTCCTCTTCTTTTTTTTAAAAGCGGATCTTCAGATAGGAGGTAAGTGATTCTTGGGGGATTCTTGGAGGGTGAGTTTCATTCTTTTTTACTAACTTCCTCTTCTTTTTTTAGAAGCGGATCTTTCGTTCTTCTTCCGATACGAGGTAAGTGATTCTTGAGGGATTCTTGGGGGTGGGCTTCATTCATTCTTTTTACTTACTTCCTCTTCTTTTTTTTTAGAAGCGAATCTTTCGTTCTTCTTCAGATAGAAGGTAAGTGATTCTTGGGAAATTCTTGAAGGGTGGGTTTCATTCTTTTTTACTAACTTCCTCTTCTTTTTTAGAAGTGGATCTTTCGTTCTTCTTCAGTTAGAAGGTAAGTGATTCTTGGAGGATTCTTGGAGGGTGGGTTTTATTCTTTTTATTAACTTCATCTTCTTTTTTTTTAGTAGCGGATCTTTTGTTCTTCTTTGAATAGGAGATAAGTGATTCTTAGGGGATTCTTGGAGGATGGGTTTCATTCTTTTTACTAACTTTTTCTTCTTTTTTTTAGAAACGGATCTTTCGTTCTTCTTTGGATAGGAGGTAAGTGATTCTTGGCGGATTCTTGGAGGATGGATTTCATTCTTTTTACTAACTTCTTTTTCTTTTTTTTTAGAAGCAGATCTTTCGTTCTTCTTCAAATAGAAGGTAAGTGATTTTTTGAGGATTTTTGGGGGATGAGTTTCATTCTTTTTACTAACTTCCTCTTCTTTTTTTTAGAAGTGGATCTTTTGTTCTTCTTCGGATTGGAGGTAAGTTTCTTTGGGATTCTTGGGGGTGGGTTTTATTCTTTTTTACTAACTTTTACTCCTTTTTTTTAGAAGCGGATCTTTCATTATTTCGGATAGGAGGTAAGCTTTTTTTAGGGTTCTTTAAAGGATTTTTTGGGATGGATTTTTCCCTTTTTACCAATTTTTCTTTTTTTTTTTTTTTGGAATGGACGTTTTTTATATGCTGAATGGTATTTTTCGTATACAATAATAACTAATGCAAATGTATCATTTTCTATTATTAACACGTTATCTTATCAATTAATTCGAGCTTGTTTCTAATGGAAATGATTTTTAAAGTTTATGGATTAGCACTAGTTTTTGAAAAAAAAGGTTTACTTTTGAAGTATAAAATGTTTAACTTTTTTTTGACAAGTAAAAAAAAAAGATTATAAATCAGTGTTTATAAATGATCTTCAAATTACTTCAAATTATATTACTTTTATTATAAAAATTATATTTTCTGAAAAATTCATATGATTTTAAAATAACCAATCAAAATTAACTGTCGAAACTTATTTAATTAACTAAAAAATGTATTTCCGTAACTTCAAAACTTATATAATTTATTAATAATTATACTTCCGAAACTCCAAAACTTGTTTCGGGTTACAGTTAAATTGTTATCCTATCTTCGAAACTACCGAAATTAGTTTCAGAGTTCTGGAGTTTCAGGGATTTATAATTTTGGCTGGCATCTTTAATAAGCAATTATTTAACAGAAATAGCTAAGTAATCATGAGCCATAATTGCAAGATGTGGATATGTTGTTTCATATAACTATAATGTATATAATATAATTGATTAAATTAATTAAATTATATTGATAGTAAATATTAAAGAATTAAAATTCAATTTACCTTCCACTATTTTAAAGGATCTGTTTTTGGTAAAACTATTGGCTTTTGAAGATAATCTTCTAATTCATCTTCATTATGATAATCATTATTATCAAATCCAAACAAACTTGAAAAATAATCATTTTCAATAGATTCAATATTAATAGAATTATTTCTGGTAGAAGACAAAATAAAAATATTTTGATATTCATTTTTATAAGTAACTTTAAATATTTTTGTTGCTATATCAATATATTCTTGCTCCCATTTATGTTTTTTATAATAATGTAATTTTAATCTAGGATTAAGAACTAGATTTAATAAAATAAAAAAAAGAATATATAAAATTAGATATTAAGATAATTAAATTTAAAAATAAATTCAAAGAAAAAAATACCTACTAGTTGCAATTGAATATACTTTTGAATCATCTGTTTTTGAATAATATGATTTGAGTTTTTCATAGCCATAATTATAGCTAAACGTACTTCTGAAAAATGACAAAATGTGATATCATTTTCATCAAGAAGTTTCTTAAGATGCTCAAGTAAAGAGTTATATATTGGAGCTTAAAGTAATATATTGTGATATTGACATGTATTCTGTAGTAGTATGAAACTTCTAAAAATTATAAATATATTAATTATATTTTATTATTTATTATCATTAAAACTTTTAATTAAATAAAAAGATTATCTTACATCAAATACATAACATAATTCTTTAACCATATTCCATTCTTCAGGTAAAATTAGATATTCATTTAAATCTTGTTCTAGAAGTATAAAATCATCAAGAGGTTATATAAAAAAATATATAAATCTTTTTTTTTTAATTTTTAAATTCATAATTATACTATTAAATTTACTTACTTCTCGAAGTTTTAATACACATTGCAACATAAAATATGTTGAGTTCCATCATGTCTTAACATCCAAAATTAGATTTGATTTTATTTTCATATATAATTCACATTGACGTCTAAATCTTTCTCTTCTTTGTTATGATGATCAAATTTTTATAATAATTCTACGTAAGGTTGTTAGACGAAATCAAGAGTTTAGACAGACGTCTAAATGATAAAAGTAAAACTTGGTTAAATTATATTAAAACCTTATTAAAAAATTTGCGAAATTTAGAAAAAGGTAAAACTATATCAAAGCTTATAAAAATGGTGAAACTATATCAAACAATTAGTAAAAATTTAGCGAAACTAAAGGTTTTACCATTTTGCCAAATCCAAAAGTAGTTTAGACAAGCAACCTTAATTCTACGTAATTTTGGTATTATTACAATATTATTATTTTTCCATAATCTTCTTCTTGAGCAATGCCAACTTTGATATGTTTTAATATTTCTTGTATTATTATATTCATTATATATGCCAGACAACGTATATGATTTTTTTTATGATCAAAATTGATCTTTTTTTCAATACAAACATATTCAAGTTTTTGAAGGAACGTAATATTATTTTTAGCATTGTCTACTGTAATTGCAAGAATCTATATTAAGTATTTTAATATAAGTATTAATTATCATATTATATCAAATAATTAATAAATAAAATTACTAACCTTTGTTAATATATGAAATTCTTGAATGGAATTCAAAAATTCTTTCACCATATTCTCACCTGAATGAGAACCTTTAAGATATATAAAATCGAATAATACTTCTTTAAGATCCTAATTATCATCTATATAATGACATGTTATACCAAGAAAAGCAATAATATTTGATGAAGTCCAACAATCCAAAGTGAAACTAATTTTTCCTGGTGTGTTCTTTTTAAATCAATTTAAAATAAATATTATATTATATTTAATTTAATGTTGATAATTATAAAAGAAATAATTACTAACTTGTAATATAAATTGAATATTTGTCCATTATTTTTTATACAATTTTAAAATATCACTATGAATCGTATTGGTTAAAGGTACTTTTGCTTCTCTATTACAAGTTTTTATTAATTCCTGAAATTTTAGCACAATCTACTACTGTAAATGGTTTATCATTAACCGCAATCCATATTGATAATTTCTCACGAAAAATCTCATTAGTAAATACCTATAAAAAAGGTTATATTTATATATAAATAATTTTATTTTTTAATAAATAAATTGTAAACTTATGATAGGAATATTATTCTCGATTTTAAAAAATTGCTTCATAAATGTTGCTTGCTTTATTACAGATGGATTTACTTTATTTGGATGATTTTTATCAAGATGTCTTTTTAAATTTCCTGTCAAGCTATTTGTTCCACTCATTTTATACTTTGTATTACTATTAATTCATAATATTAATATTAGTATAATTATATAATTTAACAATTAATTAAAATTTATTGCATTACCTGCAATATAAACATTTTGCACATGTTAAATTATTATCATCTACAAACTTTTCAAAGTGATTCTAAACAGAACTTCTTTCTTTACTTTTTGAAATATTCTTTTGTTTCTCTTCTGACTCAGACAATTCATTGTCCTTATCCTCCACTCCCCCTCCTTCAGAATGTTCATCATTCAATTCTTAATCTGAAAATTTTTCAAGAAAATCTTTATTATAATGATTACGCTTTGATTTAGAATTAGTATAAAAGTTTTTAGAACGTTGTTAGTGATAGTCTAGTTATGACACATTAATACTGCACCAATTACAATTAGCGAATGATGATCCTATCAATCATGGATCTCAACTTTTTATGATTTCTTTAATTTCTTAGCGATCTTAGCGATCTATAATTTCTTATATATCTTATATATCTTTAATTTCTTATTTATATTATATTTCTTATTTTTCTTTACTATATTAAATATCTATTTCATATTGATGTATTTTATATAAATATCTTGTATTTCTGCCTTAATAAATGGCAGAGTCGCTACAATTCTCTAATAAATCAATAACATTTATCTTTTAATAATTATATCTTTGCTTAATATACAATTTCATACTTCTTTAAATCTATATCGATAAAGACGACCTGACCCTTCAATATAATTAATCTGTGTTTATTTCTTCAATAGTTTAGACGCACTTAAACTCCCTGTTAGCAAATAATCTAAGTTAACTTAACGACGAACAATTTAAGCTAACAATGTGTTAAAATTTCAGCCTAAATCATTAAGTATGTTTTAGATTAATTAATAAAATATGGTATCTGCCTACTTTTGTCCAAGTAGTGTATATACATATATATACATTTCGATCTTAATAAACAAATTTGAATCTATGATATAAAATAAATTGAATTTGTAAATATTAAATCATAAAAAAAAAAAACTCGTTTTAAAAATTTTTTCCTGGAGGGTATTTATACCCCTCAGATCCCCCAATTCAGGCCTCTTGTATATTATGTAAATTCATTTATTAAATATAAATAATTAAATTTCTTTTATAAATTTGATTTTTTTTATATTATAATAAATAAAATAAATAATAAAAATTAACAAATTATACTATAATAAAAAATAATTGAAATGATTGGTCATTTGAACATCCAAATGACTAATTATTTGTCATTTGAGTCATTTGCTAGTCATAATCATTTGGTAAATACTGAGTTTAACTGATCATCAGTATCGGCACTTTCCAAATAAAGTTAACGCAATTTTCTTTAACTTACGGGATTATGATTTTTACAATCGATTTGAAACTGTAAAAAAATTTTTTCTTTTTTTGATTATAATAAAATAAACTTTATTAGATTTGAATCCTAATTTTGCTCGAAGATTCTATTCCCAAATCTTGAGCGGCCAATATTATAATATAGTTTTAGCTTTATATTCTGTTTTTAAAATTTTTACCCAGAGATGATTGCAAAGTATGTTAATCTAATGTTATTGTTTTCTATGAAAAATAAATATCCGGATAATATCACCAAAGATGTCCTTCGGGTTTGCATTTTCAGGATAAAATTTTACTCAATATCCAGATTTGTCTGCCTGGATTTTAATGGCAAATTCCAGACATCACTTTTACAATTTTTTTTTATTACTGGGTTTGAGAAAAAAGAGTTCTTCATAAGATTTTCATAATTACATATTATAATATTTTATTTTATGTCAAATAATAATCATTTTTTTTTGATTTTCTCTTTTTTATTTATAAGTTACAAATCCTAATATTTTTTTACATTCTGGTCTTTTTGAACTAATTTAGAATCATTTTTTCCTAAAGGTCTAGTTATCAACGAAAGATTTAATTCTATTAACTAAAATAAATTAAGGTTACAAGTGATTTTAAAGGTATTATCATAAATAAGTCCTGTTGGGGTTAGCCAGTGGAATTTAACGGTGGCATAGTAGATTCATATATATATTTTTTTTCTTGCATCAATAGTACTCTTTGGCTTAAAGGCAGATGATTATAACAGATTATCACTTTTTGATAGAGGTTTCAAAGATACTCCGGAAGAGATCCAAAATATAGTTGTAAATGTATTATTGAGATTACATCCCAACACATCACTAGAGCAAATGAATCCACATTTTGCAAGTTTATTTCTAATTTCATTTATGGCGTTACATCAATCTTTGGGTGAGGTGAAAATCTACTCCCAAAAGAAGCCATGGCAAAGGATCAGTTGAATGTAAAAGTGAGAAATATAATAATCACATTTACTGAGGATATCAATCAAGAATGCAGTCTGACTGCAGACATCCATTCAGCATAATCCTAAAAAGCATAGCTACGACACAGCAGGTTTACATGAAGATGGAATTGTATCCACTGCTGTAGATTGGATCATAATCAAACTAATTTCATCTAGCTCTGAGAATAATAGTGAAGGAAAGGTAGAAGTATTGCTAAGTTCTTTGGTCGCTCTCACCACTACTAATTAAAAACTCTGTTTAATTCATGAGGACTTGGCAAAGTCTATCATAAAACTTGTATTAGAAAATCAAGTAGGTTTTGATAGTCAAATCGAATCAAAGAGATTATCGAAACGAATTAAAATGAATAAATAATGTGGAGTAGTATTATCACAGAAGCATTATGTATCATAAAAAAATTTTTCTTGGCAAAAGTGATCGGATGTCTTTAATTAATTAAATAGGTTGAGATATGCAAATTTTATTAGAATTAATAAAGCATTTCAAATTATTTTTATTCCACCAATCATTTATTTTGCACATATTATATATATATATATAAAGTACATTAGCCGTAATTTTTATGTTAATATTTTTTCACAGATCGTATTTGGAAATCATATATGAATACTAAAAAAAATATTACAGCATTTGAAAAAAATATATGCAGACCATACATTATAAAAAATTCTATTACTTATCTACATAGTACGAAATATTGATTGTTGAATAGGAAAGAAATCAATGATCACATGATTAGGTATTGGGTATGGTAGAACTTGAGGACAGCCTCTGAAAATGCAACGTGAAGTAATATTTAAGAAACACATTCCTGCGGTAATACATCCATTTTATTGTTGATTATTTCTATCAATGTTTCCGAATTCAATCTGAAAAATAAATGCATAAATAATATTAAAAAAAAACAACGCCAAGAATACACGAATTCTTACAGTTTGGACTGATTAAAAGTTTCCATGTACATTTAGAGGGCTTCTTTTATGACAGAATTTATAGCACTGCCCAAAACACAGGACAATTATTAGGCAAATAAATAAATGAAAAATGATACTAAATAACAATACTGAACTGTGAAGCGATGCAAAGGAGTTCCGTTTTGATCTCTTCTTGAATTCCATTTCCATAATTTCAATACAATAATGTCTTCTACATGATTTGGAGCTAACCAGAATTGTGTGTTTATGCATTATTCTCGAAAGACTTTCTGAATTAGCCACCTCAATGATAATGTTTGGTTAAGGATTACCCTACAAATCATTATAGATTCATATTAGACTTTGTACTTTTCAATAATGTAATTCAAGAAATAATACCTGAACATCACATAGGTTTTGGGCTGGCTTAGGCAGAAGTCTTGGTACGAATGAACTATCCAGTTGTTTACTAGAACCCCTTGTTATATGTCCTGGAGTAACATGACAAGCTGAATATAAAGGTTAGGTTTAATATAATAATATACGTCTACAAACAAACACTGAAGTACATACTTGTTAATCCAATATAATCAACTATGTCCTGAGGACCTTAGAACATAAATATTTTAGTGAAAGCATAATATGCTATTTCATGATCACGATTTGGCAACTCGATTATGACTACAATTCCGTCTTGAAACTTCCAGTACTTTGATGCGTTCGCAATCTCACTTTTTTTTTCAAACTCTTTATAACTTACACCTTCAACAAGAATAAGAGAAAGTTTAATAAAATGGATCAAATTTTAGCATATACATTAAGAATCGAATTTATATAATGTAATGACTAAGACCATACCTATTTTTGTCAATAATTTTATAATTTTCATCGATTCACCATTTTTTCTCTTTTGCATCAGCTTTGTTAGTAATGACTTTTTCTACATTAACATTGATAACTTCAATACACTCCTGAAATGCTAACTCATTTGCAGTTAGATCAGATAAGGAAGTCACTGAACTTCAGTGAGAACTTAAAGGAGAGGAAGTAATTGAGTAGCTGGTTAGAACAGAAGCTTCAGAATTTCGATGAGAACATGCAGAAGTCTCGTATACAGTGAACATTTTTAGAATATTAAGGGATACAAATACTGGTATATATTATTATTAACTAAATATAATGAGTGGTATAAGTTTAAGGCTTTAAGGAATAAACTCGTATAAATATGTCTTGTTATCAATGGTTTGTAAAACATGTACAACACAAGTTCTGATTAATGATATTAAATAATTTCTCATACAGATTTCTTTACTATAAAAAATAAATCTTGCGAATGATTACATGGGTGACTTTTAATCCTAATAGGAATGCAATCAAATTTCAGCATATCCATTGATTTATTTTCCAATACTTCATATCTCATATAAGTATAACTGTCGACCATTTATATTATCCAGAATATCGGTTAGAGACAAATGAAAAATGGTGTAGTTCTTAGGATTTAGTATTAGTATAGAACAATTTCACTTTGTAAAACGAAATTATAGCATGTTTCACAGGCTTGCTTATGATTTGTATTTATTTTTTTCTCTATATTAATAGAGCGTTCCTGCTACATTGTATAATAATATTAACAATTACCAAGCTTGAATTATTGGAATAACGTATTACTGAGCTTGAGGCTGAGAATGCGAAAATGATAAGCTTAGGAATGAGAACGCAAAGCTGAGGCAGATTATTGAGGAGAATTCCAAGCGAGATGTTAAAGTTGAGAAATAAGAGCAAAAAAATACGGAGCTTTGATGGCAGACTCATAATAGTGGAAAAAAGTTTCATAGCAGGAAATGGACAATTAAGAATGATAAGAAAGTAACTGTAAAGCAATCAATCCCATCTTCTTGCATACACTCAGATGTAGAGATAAAAGTAGAGATGAATAGCACTGAAAAGTGTTTCGCTGAAGATTTTTTACTGATAATAATTTACTACTAATAATCTTTTTTTTTTAAAAAAAACAAAGTAAGATTTGAAAGGGTTAATATTTGAAAGGAAAAGCTAAAATATTTCACAAATAACATGACAATTTCGTAAACATTCTATGGCGACTTCACTTTGCATATATTTCGAGTTTTGTACCTTCTTATCTTCTACAAGTTTACTTTCCTCTGAACGATAATACCGCAGAATATACAAGATATATATTTTTTTTTTAAGATTTTTTTCAAATATGTAGATTTTTTTTTAGATTAGTGATCTGACTTTTTTATTTATTTTTGTTACTTTTAATTTAGACTATCGATTTCTTAGGTAGGTTTTTTTTTTTTATCATTCTTTATTTCAGCTTTTAGATTAGAATTAAATGTTATATGTTTTTGTTATTATTTTGTTACAAGATTTAATTATTTGTTCTTATTTTAATTTGGATTACTTCAAATTGTAGTCGATAACTTTTTAAAACATTTTTGATAATTTAAGGCTACTGTGATTGATTTTTCCAATATGTGATAAGTAAGTAGGATTTTTACATTTTTTTGAGAATAATTAATAATTGAACGATTTCTTGCTTTTTTTAGACTTTCATTTTTAGTTTCTTACTACTAGGGAGTACTAAGCCATAATTCAATGATCAAACTCCAGCTGTCACATCCTTTATTTAAAATATATCAATTTAAGAGAAATTAGTTGAATCATTTGAAAAGGATAGTCCCTTTGAGAGTTAAATTTGTAGAACTGGAAGCAGTTTGTAACAACAGTTTGTTTCTAGTCAGGTAATCAAACCTAGTGACGGAAAGCGGCCTACTGTAAAAGTCCTTCTATAAAAATTCTACGAATTTTTCTAAAGAGTCAAAAACTCTCTATTAGTGATTATGAGGCAGAACCCAAGTGTTCTTACTAACCGGCAAATAGATACTTGAACTGAATGGGAGCATCCACAACACATGTAACGTTCATCTTTAGTAATAAGCTAAACCTTATCATAATCACTAGTAATTATCATCCCAATAACCAGTCGCCTCAGATATTACTGTTGGTATGTGAGCTCAAATTTATACTGACTTCTTTTTATCTTTTTTCTTACTACTGGTAAAGCAAGTTCATCTTGTAAAAAATTTTCTAATAAAATCTGAAGATGACCATTATGATGAACCATCATCTGCAAAGTATTTCAAACAAAAAAGGGAATTCATGTATTTGTAAAGAACTCAGAAGGTGCTCACATTGAATATTCTAGCACATGACCATCTCTCATTTTTATAAAGTAATTGCGATATGAATAAGCTCTGAATAGCATAGTGGGGAAACATGATCAATGTGATCTTAAAAACGTAATATTTGAAAACATAGCAAATTCAAAAATGCATTTGTCATGTTTATATACATTGTATCATCTTTATACATATCAAATAGTTTAGTAATAATTTGATCTTTATAATTTGAGATTTATTGTTGCGAACTATTACATTAATAATAAATATAAACTAGCAAGATTTTTTTAAAAAGATTTATTAATTTAAAAATAAGTGATGTAAATATGAAAAAATTCTTTTTTTTATTTATATTTTCAAAATATCTAAGTCGTATATAGATATTAAAATTGGTTAGCCAATTCAAGTAGTGAAGCCATTAAACCGAAGTGGGGGTGATTAATTAAGATATTTATAAAATGATTCTAAGTTTGATGATGACACACACGACTTGCTTTTAATATTAACATTTTTTCTTTTGAAGAAGAAAAAGAATTTTGTAAGTGATATTGCTGTCATTGTTTTAATACCTTTGGATGCATTTTCTCTAATTCATAGTCAATTATGGCTAGCTTTGTAGTTATAAATTTTTGAACAAAGTGTTTTTATATAATATCTATATAATAAATAAAATTTATATATTATATCATTTTGAAGAATATGCATATTTTTAAAATAAAATCTTTTTTACCTGAAACTACAAAAATGCTCAAAGCTCCCAAATCATTGACAAAACTTATGATGTCCAATGAAAAATTTGCAAAATTCAATAAACTCACGCAATTGAAGAGTCGCTATATATTAACCTGACCTGTCAATCTGGTCATACAGGTCACAAGCTATAAAAAATGTTAATACTGACCCAACCTGAGAATGCAAATCAGATCAAATTACTCAGATTAAGCTGGATTTATCAGAGAACTAATATACTGTATAAAGTGATGACACAAACATTTATAAAATTATGATAGAAATTATGTAGTGATGACTCATAAGAAATTAAATTTATTCAAAAATTATTTTTATTTAAATTTATATGCACCATTGTTAATAATAAATCTATAATATTCAATATTACATTAGTCAAAATTAAGTTCTTTGTACAATTTAAGATTTTCAATTTTAGTTTTTCGATATTTGCTACTTTTTTTTATCATTTTTTTACTATTTTTTTTTTATTTTTTTTATTGTTTATTTTCATTATTAATCTAAAAATCCATACATTCCATATATACTATACCATACATGAGGATATATACTTTACATATAGTGTCAACTATATACAATATGATCATGCAGATCAGTTGGTACAATTCTCCAAATTTTTATCATACTGTACTGAACTGATTCTATAAAAAAAATTTTTTCTAAGAAATAAAAAAAAAGTACCTGAATAAAAATTAAATAAATCAAGAAAGGAAAATCAGTATGAAGTCTGATCAGTCAGTATAATACAAAATATATAATTATACTGTACTGGTCTTAATAATATTATAGAATCAGTACCGTATGATTATAATTTAAAAATTCGTACTGATTAGTCAAACTGTATTAGTTTTCCATATACTTCAGTTAAATCAGATATTTTATCAAAATCCTTGGTGTCTGAATTTAATTTTTAATAAATATTTTATAGAATACATGAGCATAATCCAATAATCCTCCATCATCGCTATCATACAAACAATAGAACATTGCTTTAAAATGAAATGAAATATTGAAATATTAGATGCACAATCAAAGAGAAAGTAAAAAAGTTAACTTGACCAAATATTTATTTATTTATTTATTATAATCATTATAAAATTATAAAACGAAATCATATTTCAATAGGAATGTGAGATATAAAGAAAAGAAGTAGGGAGCTGATCGATCATTTTTGAAAACACAAATTTAATATATATAAGTTATTTTAAGATAATTATTATTATTATTATTATTTAATAACTTAACATGAAAATTATTGTCATATATAATGATTTGTGGTATCAGTTCGTAAGAAACTATCCATCGCTTTTCATTGATGTCACTAGTTGTATTGGATTTCTAAAAGATTATTGTGATGCAAGTTTGTGGATTTAGTGAGAAATACACAATTGCGATTCGCTCTGGCCATTACAATTTAACTTAATTATGATGATATCCTTATATTTTAAATTTAATTACATATCAATTTATCTAGAGAATAATGTAAAATAAATGGATTAGTTTCATAATTAAACATCTGAACTTTTTGCCTGAATCTCTGATTTTGATCAATTGAAGTATTTCCTTTTAAATAGTATTACTTGTAGCCTATATCATAGGATCTATATCAGAAAATTTTAAATTTTTTTCTTGTAATAATTTGTATAATTGCATTATATACCCAAAATATCATAAACATAGTATAAGAATGCAAGCATCCTCCATGATATTAGCTGAATATATAATTCCCACCCTTCATCAGATTCTTTAAAAATTTTAAGTAATGCTGGAATTGAATTGCATATATTTTTAATAGCCTCATACAAAGCAAGCCATCATATTTCATATAATCTCTTTATCTTTAAAATTGGATCATCCCGAAAATCCTGAATTTCTTGTAGTCGATACGATCACATGAATTTTTAAAATAATTATAAATTGTTTAACTACTTCTCCATAAAATCTAATTCTTTTTTTGCATCTTTACATACTAAAGCTAATCTGTGAGCTACACAATGATTAATAATTAAAGGATAAATACATACATACTCTAGAAAGCTTTACAGCTAAACCTTCATTTTTCCCAACATAACTGAAGCACTATCAGAAGTAAATGCTACAAGTATAGATAGGATTTTTTTTTTTTGAAAATATTAACTAAAAACTTTGTAATATTTTCTGCCTTACAACTAGTTAAAGATACGAGACATAAAAATTGCATTTTCAAAATTTCTTCTTTACTTACATATAAAACACATATATCTAAATGTTTTGTAATAGTAATATCTGTACTTTCGTCAATCATTATTCCAAATGCTATAACATCAGATAATTCCTTCCATTTCTTTTTCAATAGTATTAGATATTGATTCCAAAAATTCATTTCCTGAATTCTGATTTGTATATGTAATTGAACCACTAAAAAGGTTTGGTGAACCTGATTCTTTTATTAATTTAATAGTTGAAGTTAAAAGCCTAAGAGGTAAATTATGTTTTGCTAAAAATAAACAGACAGCCAGTATTATGATTTTCATTTACATTAGAAGAAAAGATTTGATTTTGTAATGATTCCATTTGTATTCTTGCCTTTTCTAATTTTTTTGCATTATTGTGATCTTTGGTATTTAATGGCTGATTTTTTTGAAATATTTGTTGCTTCTTCTTCTGTAGCAAATTTTTTTTTTTCTTATGCCGCATATATAATGTATAAAACATTTTTTATTTTCATTATATTGTAGTTAACAAAATTCTGAAAACCATTTTGATTTAAAAGTTTTATTATTTATACGGTTTTTTAGCAACATTATTGGAACTATCATCATTTTTCTCATCAGAGCATTGATGATTTTGATATGAATCATTTTTACTGATTCTTTTATGCTCAAAACCATATTGCAATAATGAAATTATAAAAAAAATGAAATATAAAAAGATTTGTTAAAAAAAAATTATCTTTATTAAAATTAATTGGTAATACAATGAAGATCTAGAAATGTTTTTTAAACCGGTCATTTGAAAAAATTGATTTTCACATTTTACTGGAAATTTTCTGATATTTTTTTAAATGCTGATGTTAAATGACCAAAATATCAGATATGTCAAAGGCGCAGTCAATTCTTTCAAGATAATTCCTGAGAATAAAGAATGTTTATTAATTAAAGTCAATCATTTTTACTAATAAATGCTTCACCATTTTCAGGATAACCTGTATTTTTTTCTATTATATTTTTGATTTTCTTGCAATTTGATAAATCCAAAGAAACCAATTTATTATTATAGCATGAGAATCTTTCTAAAGACTTAGGCAAAGTTGGTAGGCCATTTATTTGTGCATTGTGACAGTAAAAAGTTGTTAAGGAGTCAGGTAAACTTGGTAAGCTAATTATTTTAGTATTGCTACAGTTGAGTATTGTTAAGGAATTAGGTAAAGTTGGTAATTGTGTTATATTAGTATTATAACATTTAAGAATTGATAAGGAATTAGGTAAAGTTGGTAAGGTGG